TGAATGTCTGCTTTCTATCATCAGTGAAGAAATTTGTGTGGTTACCAGTACAATAACTCGACTGTATGTGGTGATGCTCTGGTGGGTGAGGGTATGTACCCCCAGGGCATCTCAATTAATATTAGTAATATTCTTATGACAAAAGTTCATTTATTTCAGTTAATTCAATTTCAAAAAGTGAAATCTCATATCATCATTAATAGATTCATTACCACACAGAGTGAAATTATTTCAATGCCTTTATTTATTTTTAAATTTTGATGATTATGCTTACAGCTAACAAAAAACCTCAAAATTTCAAGTATCTCAGAAAATTGAAATATTTTCATATATTTCGTATACCCATGACCAATACATTTTAATCACAGATAGATGTCGGTCCTACTCAAAAAGGGTATATGTCAATATATGCACTTCAATAACTTGTTCGGGGCTCCTTTTGCATGAATATGATTCCATCAATGCAGCGTGGCTGGAGGTGATCAGCCTGTGCACTGCCAATGGTGTTATGGAAGTCCAGGTTGGCTTTGATTTAGTGGCCTTCAGGTCATTCTGCATTTGTTTGTGGTCTGGTGTCTCTCATCTTTTCCTCGTTGGACAATAGCGCATAGATTTCTCTATGGGCTCAGGTCAGGCGAGTTTTCTGGCCATTTAATTCACAGTAAAACCATGTCATTGAACCAGGGTATTGGTACTTTTGCAGTTCTGGGCAGGTGCAAGTCTGCTGGAAAATTAAATCAGCATCTCCATATAAGCTTGTCAGAAAGCAAGCATGAAGTGCTCTTTAAAATGTCGTGGGTGAGATGGCTAGCGTTGACCCTGTCCATTGGACTTTGATTAAACACAGGGACCAAGACAGCAAGATGACATTGGCTCCCCAAATCATCCCCACTGACTGTGGAAACTTCACCACAGGACTAAAAGCAACTTGGATTCCGTGGCCTCTCCACTCTTCCTCAGACTTTGGAGGAAGACCTTGATTCCCGAATGAAATGCCAAACTTCACTTTCATCTGAAAAGGGACTGTTGGACCACTGAGCAACAGTTTTCTCTTTAGCCCAGATAAGACGTGTTTTCTGTCAGTTGTAGCCCAGTCCTGGATACATCTGTGTGTGGTGCTCTTGATGCACTGACTCCAGCTCAGTCCCACTCCTTGGGAATGTCCCCCAAATTCTTGAATGGGTGTTGCTTCACAATCCTCTCAAGGCGGTACATTTATCACTGCTGCTTGTGCACCTTATTCCTACCATACTTTTTTCCTGCCACTAACTTTCTATGAATGATATTCAGCTTCTTTAGCAATGCACCTGTATGTGTGTGCCTATATATATATAAGGAATGACCTCAGCTTTTGAACAAGAGAGCTATTAATACCAGTTTGTCTCCAGCTGATCGACCAGTAGTACATGAGTTGTTAATCCATTCAAAACAGTATTGTCAGTATTTATAGACACGTAAAAAAGGAATTCACAAAGACATAAAAACATGTGAAGATATTATATAAACACGTGTCAAAGAAGTGAGAATGCTTGTCCTGTAAGGAAAATATATATTAAAATATTTTTTATCATGGATGTGTTGTTAGAGTTTTTTATTCCTTGTAACCAGCGTTATCGCCAGCTTATCTGGCGTTAAATTCCTGTCTTTTCCTTGTTTACACCACTGTGCCCATGTCCCATGAGTTTCTACAATACAGGAATAAAAACATTTCCTCACCAACATGTCGGAAATTTCTAGACTGGTGCTTTCAGCCATGGAGCAATTGTTCTGCCCAACTCTACTTGTTTTGAGTGTTTTCCAGCATCTGAGCAGATGACTCCAGCAGAACAAAGCAGACTCTGATGTGATCGTAGAGTTTCATCTAAGAAATATTCCACTACTCCCTGCCATCAGAATGGAGCCATTCATTGACAAACAGGGTTTTACTCTATACACACAACATTACACACAAAATCATACACACATGCATGCTTCATCTTTCTATCTTTCTCGCTCTCTTTCTCTCTCTCAGCAATCTAAAAAGCAATGAAGCATGGATGTGCCTGAAAAGACTGAATTCAGGTTTTAAACTGCGGTTTTCTGCTTCTATTACAGATTTAGTTTGTTGCTTTGGGTCACTCATTTGGGTTTATTTTTGAGAAACAGCTGCATGACTTTTAAAATCAATTTTCCAAAAACAACAATAATGTCAACTGATCATCGGTGTGGTTATATTGGAGTTTTATGTTCCATTCAAACACATGGAAAAAGTGGGAAAAAGTATTAACATTTTTTTCTTGTCTTTCATTTGTTTCATTCATGTTACTTACTATAGTATGCAACACATTTCCTGGCCCCGTAGCAGCCTGGGGCTTTGAATCAAATCACTTTTAACTGGTCGGGTAGTCGTGTGAAAAGGGAAGGAAGAAATGCAAATTTCAGCACTAGTATTTTCTTATTCCTTTTAACTGAAGCTCAAAAAGCATGTGGATCTGAGTTGAAAGCAAGAGAAGCTGACTTTTTAATGCACTCGGCTATAATAAGAAGCCATCCTTGCAGCCCCTGCTCTTACTTGATTGCTTTCAGTCTCCGTGGCGGTTGGCTCTGATTGGCTGATCCCTTAGTGACAGACAGGAAGTCCCGGACGCTCTCAGTCTTCACGCCCAAGTTAGGATTTAGCGGGATGAGGGCGGGGCTTATCAGACGCTCCTGCATGTCACACTTCACACACACTACACAGATGACAAATGTAAAAAAAAGTGTGAACAGATGTCAGTTATTAGTGTAACATGACATCTGTATGGTGCCATCTAGGGACACAAAACTCTTTAGTATGTTTTCTGTCTTTAGTAGCAACTTCATATTTGTAATGTGTGTTGACACCACTGTTTGTCTTTGTACTGTAACTTTGTAGAAGTAAACTGTATATTCTCATAGTTTGCCACTCAAAACGTTCACATTGTGTGTTGCATGGTTAATGTTCCATACTCAAAGTAGTTTTGTCATTATCAGTTGAAATCAAACACATACATGGTGCTAATTGCCAAGGGTCAACTTCTGTTTAACTGGCTGTCTCTCTGTGTATGTTTGATTACAGGAGTGGAGTTAGGAGTGCAGGAGTCAGGCCCCCAGCTGCCAGCCATCATCATTATCATCATCATACGGCTCTGCTTCAAATACCTGGTTCTCTCCTTAGACTCTGTTTACTTAGTCAGTCAAGTGTGCAGCCTTCAGTATTCTTGCTCTTTTCTATCTGCCTAGTTCCTATTTCCTGTTCTCCTCTGCCTACAGTTCCCCCGGCCTGACTCCTGCCTGACTCCCTCTTGCCTCATCCACCATCTCAGTTGGATTTGTTCTGGTACTCCACCCTCTGAACCGTATCTCCCTGGCCTCCCTTAACTGGACCCTTCCAAGCTCTGGTCAAGTTTCCACTCTGACTCCATCTGGTTACAACTCTGCTCTGGACTATTCTCAGTCTGCCTCATACCCAAGACATACCCCTTTTCAAGCACGTTGTGAATAAATACAAATAACCAGATTAAGTCTCCTGCCTGTATCTTTTGCTCTTGGGTTCTCAAGTAGCCTTGATGCTAATAAGATATACAGGTGTGCTTGTGTGCAGTACCTGTACCTGGAATGGGATTATCCAGGGGGCTGGGCAGCAGGAGGTGGAGGTGCTCTCTGTCTCCTCCCTGCTCTTGAAGCCACGCCTTCAACACCATCTCTATGGTGAAAACACTGTTTTCTACCTGCTGCAGGTCCACCTCCGTTCCCAGCATTAGACAGTCTGAAGACAGACACACAGAGGCATTAATATTTGGATTCAAGAACTCAGAATCTGAAATTAATTTTGGTAAAGCCAAGCCAAAAAAAAAGGTTTTACACAGACATCAGAAATAATGTGCTACAGAAATGCAGTGGGGAAAACTGTGCGTCTGGCCACGGCATCTCATCAACATCACAAGCTATGTCCTCTCTAGCTAAACATAAGGGGAAGTACCATCTTCCCAGATTCATTTGTGACAATTCTATTTCTTTTGAATTATCCTTGCGCACTTGTTGTGCTCTGTGTCCTCCTACTCCTTTACCTCGTTGTCATCCTCATCTTCCTTGTTTTCCTAGTCCTCGTCCTCCTATTACTTACATCTTTCTCTAACTCTCTCTCCAAAGTTGACCTCCATTGTTATGTGCACCAAAGAGCAACCTAAATCCTATTTTATAGTGTTTAAGCTCTATCTATCTAGTATGGTATTTTAATGGCAGTGGAAACAACATACACAGGCTTTTATTTTTGAATGATGAGTGAGTGTCTAATGGAGATAACTGTAGTTCTTTGCAAAAAGTGTGTTTTAGAATTTCAAACTTAGTGTAAAGCAGACAATGTGCTTATGGTTTAGCATGCCTGGTCAACAGATAGACTACATGAATTAGTGGGTTCAATAATTCTGCCACAAATACCAGTTTTTGAGTCTTTGAAATTGCAAAACACTGTAAATATATTCCGGGGGAAAAGCAACAATTTTCATCTTTGACCACTAGATGGAAGCAAAATTCAATAAACTTAATTAACAGCATGGCCTCAGTGACCACAGACACTGAAGACTCTTTGAGCTCATCTGAAGGCTTCAGTGTCTTTGGATTAACCAGAAACCTTCTTAAGCTTCACTGGATGAGTAGGCCTGCTGCTGATTTCCTGGAGGGAAGAAAGTCGGGCTGCAGTGGCTTTTTTAAAGCAGACAGGACAGGCAGAGAAAACGTAGCCTATCTACATGTTAATACCTCTCTTCCCTCATTTTCTGTACTTGCAGTGATGCCTAATCCCAGAGGACAGAAAGCAGCCACAATGCTCTCTTCTCTTTGCCCACTGACATCCACTTATCATTACAGAAAAGACAAAGAGACCCTATGGACTTACCCCACCCTCCTGTCCTGCTCTTTCTCTCTTGTCATCCCCCAATTTCCATTTATTATTGCAAACTAGACACAAACCTTACAGAGCGCTCCTCTTCTTCCTTCCCCTCTATCTGGTGTTTAATAGTTAATGACCCATCAGGAGATAACTAATGGGACTAAAGGGAGAGGAGCGGATCAGGAGGCACTGTAAGAACGAGGGAGGGTACAGATGGAGGAGAGGTTGACAGAAGGGGAGGGGGATAAGACCGCAAAAGCGCAGAGAAGATGGATGAAGAGTAGACAAAGTATTTAAACTCCCCCTGCCAGGAACTTTTTAGGGAGAAAATGAGAAACTTTAAATTCCTAGAATAAGATATGTCATTGCTTCTTTCATCTGTCAGAGGCAGCTACAGTACGGAAGCTATTTTTGGTTCTGGCCAAAGTTTCCAAAAGTGTTTCATCCAGAAATAAGTACCTTATCTGAGGGGAAAGAATTGTGTTTGCTGAGTTTTTTGCTGATGGACGCTTGTAGTCTGATCCCTGCTGAGTGAAGGCAAGAGGGATGAAGGAAGAGAGAGAAAGAGAGATGTTTAAGAGGGTAACAAAGCGTATACTAATGACACTTTAGCTTTACAAGTTCACCGTTTATGTGTCTAAAAAGCACACTGTAAAGTCAAGCTTTCAATTCTGACGCAAACCACATTGCTCTTGCTCTCTTAATATGGATTAAAGATCTGGTGGGCGAGTAAAATAAGACCTGCATCCTACTGAATATCAGCATTGCTACCTTACTGAGCAAAAACAGAGTGACTACAGAAAAAACCTGTAAAGGTTAGAAAGAGAGAGACATGAGGGATCTTACAAAGACATGTACAGTCAAAGGAAGAGGACAGGGAAGAGGAAGAAGGGATGTGTGCTTGCCTTTATGGAAACGGTAATGCAGAGAGATAAGAGGAAAATCCTTGAGAGATGTACAGAGATGGAGGAAAAGGGGTTGAAGAAAATCAATCGCCATTCCCTCAGATAATGTCTGTCTGGGGAATAGGAATGGAAAGAGGAGGAGACGGAGTAAGTGAGTGAGAGAGAGAGGGGGAGGTAGTAGAGAGAAAGAAATATACAAGTTGGTGTAGACAGACAAGATGGGGAAAAGTATAAATTACACAGAGAGCACGAGCAGGAGGAAGAAGGGGAGAGGACAGAGGAAGATGAGATAGAGAAGAGATGGATGGGTATGGTGGGTGAGGGAAAATGGACCACACTATTGGAAATGCTTGTAATTAGACCATGGAGTGTGTTTGTGTGCGAGAGGGAGAGGGGGAGATAAGGAGAGCGAGGAAGAGAGAAAACGGGGTGTTTTGCTTCTCACAGAAGCATAAATAAGTCAAGACAGTCAATCTTCTGTGTGTGTGTGTGTGTGTGTGTGTCAAACTGTTTTCCACAAAGCAATACATTACTGACTGAGGATGATAGGCGAGAGTAGTTAGCCTCTGTGTGAGTGTTCAGTGAGACAGCTAGGAGCTGTGTGTCTCTCCAGCAGGCTTATCTGACTCCATGAAGAATGTGTTTACACTGCTAAATCCTCCTACAGATGTCTCTCCTTCTGGATCTTTACCGTGTTCATTAAGTATGTGTTTATTGTACGTATGGAAGATTCAAAAGAAACAATTATGCGTTATCATTCGTCTCTCTGAACACTAACTATCTATCGTTCTCTTGGTCTAAAGCCAGAGCAACTGACCCATCTCTATGACCTACAGGGCTAATTGTGCTCCTGCATCTCATTAGCATGCCCTCTGCGTGTACGTCTGTATACGTGAGAAGATAGTGTGTGACACACATGCTGAGGTAAGAATGCAAGTTGGTAGACGAATCTCATTAAGTGTGTGTGTGTCTGTGTGCAGGGTGTAGGTTGCACATTTGCTCATGCATGCTGATGGTCACCAACTCAGAGCAATACGGGAAATATACTATACGTTCCCCCGAATAAACAGTTCAGATGCTGCAAATAAAAAAACCTTAAATTAAAATCTATAATTAGAAAAACATATATATGTCTAATGTAGTACCATACATTTTATAAAATGAGATCTTAACAATAGTTTCAGTTTCAGAGAGAGTTGGACCATTAGTTAGCAACTCCTGTATTTGCTTTATAAGGAATTATCACCGTCAGTCTGCAGCTCCTCTCAGCTCTACACAGATTTTTAGTGTCTTTGAGCTCATTGTGTTTGGTTTCACTGTTTTGGTTCACTCTCAGCTGTTTGCTAAAACCTTCCATTTTACTGTAAGTTTTTAGGATTTACAACTTGTCCTGCCCTTTAATTAAATCAATTACTGCTTTAAAAATTAATAAAGGGAGAGTTATTAACACACGAACATCTATTTGCATCAGAGTATGCCATACAGTAGCACCTCATAGTGGCTGTAAGTGTTGGGGAGACCCTGTGCCGTTTCTGTTACATCCTCTTTAACCACACGGCCAAGCTGCCTCGAAGCCTCTGCACCGCATCTGCACCGCAACAGTTAAGACAGTTTGGGTTTAAACTGCAGCAACTGATTTGTTATTGCTGACTCATTACATCCCTAAAGACACACTTCCTTTAGTTTAGAGGATGGGTGCTAATGCCTTGCCTGCTTACTTTTACATTAGCATCTCTCTTCTCTCTCCACCTGTCTAATGATCGGAGAGTTCTTCCTGTGCAGATGACTCATTTATGATTCCAGATGCTGAATGATGTTGATGCACAGCTCTTAAGACACAACAACCATTTCAGTATTTCTGCTTTAGCCGACGCCTTAATGGTGCTGTGTGGCTGCTGAATCTCTGGCATTGATGCTTGCTGGAGTACAATTTAAAAAAGGTCGTATTTGTGATTCACCTCCACACACACACACACACACACACACACACTGAACTGATTAGATAAAAATGTAATCACTTCGATTTGGCTGTAATTTCCCTGGAGACATCGTTTTCTTTTTTGTGTGAAGTAAATGACTGATGAGTGTTTTCTGAGAAGGTTGGTTTATTTTGCCAGTAGGGTACAGCTGTCAATTTTAATTGGAAATTTGACGTTTTGTAATAAAAGACTGAAATATTTTACCTGTAATAATATTTCTGAATTCAAAACTTTGATTTAGAAAAAAGGACAGCCCCACAAGGAGAATTCTAGCTTGGCAATGGCCACCTTCATCTCTTAAAACCCATCGGTGTATCAGTGTGAAACTGTTTGTTTTTGTCTCCACGACCATATAGGCTTGCTTTCTGTAACTGATCTATTTATCTGTCTAATTGACCAGCCTTGTGCCTGACCCTCAACTCCCTCTGTCCCACCCTGGCCCACGCCCAGTAATGGTTCCTTTTATTCCGTGCATTAGGAAGTGCACCATCGACCACTGTAACATTAGCTTGTGTGGGGAAATTAGTGACGCAGTGAGCTAATGCAGTACCAGAAGAGGAAGCAGAGCAGTACTCTACAACCCTGTTTTCACTCATTTATTTAGAAATTGATCAGCTTTACCTGATAAAGATAATGGTCACTGTGCTCTGTAATCGTTGACATTTTCATCAAAGCTTTTAACGATCACATTGTCTAATTCCAGAAGGATCATAGTAATGGTGAACTACTTTGAAAGTTCACTACATTAAAACATCAATAGTTTGGAATTATTTGGTCTGATTAAATTAATGTTTTGAGTTCATAAGTTGTTTACAATGATTGATTATTTGATCCAATTTAAGGCCTATTTATCCATTTGTAAGAACTTTATTTATAAAGAAAATGAGCTTCTTTGTCAGTGATACTTCAATTCAGTGTATACTTACAGGTTGAGCTCTTTCATGAAAAGATCATTCCAGTTTATTACAAGTAAAGTAAGTTTGATCTTATTTTT